AACATCCTCACCTGTACCTTTAACAAGATTTTTATTAATAAAATCATAAATTAAGCATAATTTTCCTTTTACATTCAGTGTTCGTATTTTTAATGTGTAGTCTATCACATATAATCTCAATAAATCAATGTTGGTTTGTGGTTTCTACAATAAGGCGCTGCAGTCTGATCAAACAGCCAGGGAGGCAGGCAATGCTGCATGCAACTTTTCAGGCGACCTGTAGAGGGCAGCAACTGACAGCAATGTGGATCTTAGGCCTGATGGATGGAGGCAGGAATGTGTTTCTGCTTCACGTCATGCTGATGGTGATACAGTTCAGAGAGAGCTCTCTCCATTTGCATGGCTGATGCAAGCGCTGTTTTTCTAACCTACCTTTGACCTCAGAGTACGCTCTGAGCGTTTGGCTGCTGCAGCCGCCATCTTCAAAATGTCAGGGTTGCTCTTGGACTTCATGATATCTATCATAAAAAAACAGGAGGTTTTATTATTTTTATGAGAGCAGCCTTCTGGTCATAGGCTGTTTTCCGGGCAGGGTTTGTGTACCATATCCTCGCTCCATGTCCTCCAGCGACGGCTCACCCAGCGCCTCGTGAGCCAGCTGCAGCTGCTCTCTGAGCCGGCCAAGATCCCGCTCCGCCTTGGCCTTCACGATGCTCAGCTCTGTGTAGATGTCCTTGTACTTATCTGTTGCATATTTCTTATCCTGCAAACACATTCTCGCTTAGTAAGACACAGAGCATTCGTGCACATCTCAGCCAACCCCCCCCAGAAAGCTGTGCTTTTCAACAGAGGTCAGGAAGAAGGAATCAAGTTTACTCTTTGAGCTGCCTGGAGTTCATCTTTCAGGGAGTTGATTTCCTGCTTCAGGTACTGGACCTCAGACTCCTTCACCCTCAGCATCACCTGAGTAACAACAGTGAGAAAACTTGTAGTCACTTTGACAGCGGAGTTGAGCTCCTGAAGGGAAACAGCTGTTGCTGCCAAGCCTCACCTCTAGCTCATACAGCTCTTTCCCCTGGATTGTGACGTTTGGATCTCCGGCTCCATCCTCGGATGTCATGGAGCGCATCTTGGTGATCTCTGCTGCCAGACGGTTGTTCAGCTCCTAAACACGGCGCAGAGAAGAGGCTCAGCACAGACTGGAGCAGAATGTAAGAGGCAGCATTGATGGCGGCGGTATAACCGCTGGTCAGACAGGTGTGTTGCTGCACCTGGTTGTGTGCGTTCAGCTCCTGGTTCTCTCTCTGGCACTGCCTGAGGGCCTGCCTCTCGGCCTCCAGAGCCTGAGCCAGGTGGGCGTTTTCCAGGCACTTCTGCGAATACTGCTCCGATAACACTTCGATTTCCCGCTGGAAGGAACACAACTCCTCCCTGAAACAGGACGCAGAGTCACAGAGAGACAGAGAAAACAGAATCAACACACTGATGGGTAGATCCAGCTGTTTACCATCCATGCTGCACAAACAGCAATAATGTTTGACAAAGAGTGGCCAAAGTATTTATACTCATTTAATATGTTCATGTTATAAAACCGAAGGTAAAATATTCAAAATGTGTTTTTATTTTTATTCAGACTCTTTTATTTTGATAATATAAAGTCCAAGGCAAAAAACCCCAAGACAAACTGTCAGCTCTGCTTTGATTTAAACTTGGATCAAAGTAGAATAAATCAGTCACATTAAATCCCTATAAATGACTTATGGCTGCAACAAAAAGTGCTTTTAGTCCTCTGACTGCTTTATTTTGATACTCTGATAAAATACCATGTGCCACATGTTGACTGAAGTCATAAGTAGTGATGCTGTTACCAGTGTAGAGCGGGGCCCCGATCCAGCACTGAAATAGTAGTATTGTTATCGGCGAGTACCAACAAATAGGGCACTGATACCATTTTGAGAGCCAAAAGTTTATTCAACTATTGTCACCCATTGCAGGTAGGCAATAAAAAGTTCTACTGGATTCACTTTGTTTTAGTCTTTTTCCTGCTTCACAAAGGTAGGCAGCAGCTTGAAAAAGCCATGATGGCAATTATTTTACATCCAAGTAGTATGCAGTTCTTCATATATACACACACATTAATCTCAAACAGATGGTATCGGTATCGACCAATACTGCACAGCCAGGTATCGGGTATCGTATCGGGACACTCGTCATATGAAATGTGCATCGATCAGGAGAAAACCAGCAGCTCAGTGATGACTGACATTAGCAATGTTAACAACAGCTTTTATACTGAGATCAGCTTAGACGAATTAAGTCTATAGTTTGAATAAATTAAAATTTTTGCAGTAGATCCATTTCAGCAGAAATTAAACTAAACTGAACTGCTGTAAAGTTGGCGGCAACTAATTCCTTCATACAGTTCAGCGGTTTTGTAAAATTTCTTCTGCAAATATTTCTGCCCTTTAAAGAGATCTTTTATATTTTCCTTTAAATCAAGCGCCTTCAACGTTTTCCAGGCCAAGGACCCCCAAACTGATGGTGAGATGGAGCGGGGACCCCTAATTATATAAATATTGAATGAAATTGTGTTCTATCAAAGTGGTCCTATAGTTACTCTATTACAGATGGAGTAATATAACGAAAGTAATTTCTCCCTGGGATTATTAAAGTATTTCTGATTCTGATTCCTTTTTGATGGGACAGGTGTTGTGAATGAAACGGTGCCCAGCTTGAAAGAGCTCCTGTGTGTCGCTGAATGTGTGCATTGATGACTGAAAGACATCTTCTGCCTCCATTTATCTGTTTACTACAGTGTGTTGAATACATGTTAATGTGGATTTAAAGACATTTCAATTAGTGGAAAAAATTGCAGGAGGGAATATAAAAAAAGTCTAATCAAATAAAACTTTCGCGACCCCCATGCAAGCGGACCCCCCTGTTGAAGACCTCCGATATAAACATAATCATTGGTCTACAATGACACTTCACTCCAATACTGAGTTTATACGTCCTCAATTCCTCACATTTCCAGCTCCTCCAGGCTGAGCTTTTTGTAGAGGTCTTTCACTTTTATGCAAATAAGCTTATTTTGATCAAAATTACATAATCAATGTTTTCAGCAGCATTAAATTGTGTACTTTTTTTTCTCATCTGTCTGTGTGGTATTCTGTATAAAGGCTGGGTTTGTCTAAGATNAATATCGGTGGGGTGGCCGATGTCCGATATTCAGTTTTAAGGCCGATACCGATAGGGGGCCGATTATATCGTGCATCCCTAGCTGATACCAGTGTAGAGCGGGGCCCCGATCCAGCACTGAAATAGTGGTATCGTTATAGGAAAGTACCAACAAATAGGGCACTGATACCATTTTTAGAGCCAAAAGTTTAGTCAACTATTGTCACCCATTGCAGGTAGGCAATAAAAAAGTTCTACTGGATTCACTTTGTTTTTGTCTTTTTCCTGCTTCACAAAAGTAGGCAGCAGCTTGAAAAAGCCATGATGGCAATTATTTTACATCCAAGTAGTATGCAATTCTTCATATATACACACACGCACATTAATCTCAAACAGATGGTATCGGTATCGACCAATACTGCACAGCCAGGTATCGGGTATCGTATCGGGACGCTAGTCATATAAGAAATGTGCATCGATCAGGAGAAAACCAGCAGCTCAGTGATGACTGACATTAGCAATGTTAACAACAGCTTTTATACTGAGATCAGCTTAGACGAATTAAGTCTATAGTTTGAATAAATTAACATGTTTGCAGTAGATCCATTTCAGCAGAAATTAAACTAAACTGAACTGCTGTAAAGTTGGCGGCAACTAATTCCTTCATACAGTTCAGCGGTTTTGTAAAATTTCTTCTGCAAATATTTCTGCCCTTTAAAGAGATCTTTTATATTTTCCTTTAAATCAAGCGCCTTCAACGTTTTCCAGGCCAAGGACCCCCAAACTGATGGTGAGATGGAGCGGGGACCCCTAATTATATAAATATTGAATGAAATTGTGTTCTATCAAAGTGGTCCTATAGTTACTCTATTACAGATGGAGTAATATAACGAAAGTAATTTCTCCCTGGGATTATTAAAGTATTTCTGATTCTGATTCCTTTTTGATGGGACAGGTGTTGTGAATGAAGCGGTGCCCAGCTTGAAAGAGCTCCTGTGTGTCGCTGAATGTGTGCATTGATGACTGAAAGACATCTTCTGCCTCCATTTATCTGTTTACTACAGTGTGTTGAATTCATGTTAATGTGGATTTAAAGACATTTCAATTAGTGGAAAAAATTGCAGGAGGGAATATAAAAAAAGTCTAATCAAATAAAACTTTCGCGACCCCCATGCAAGCGGACCCCCCTGTTGAAGACCTCCGATATAAACATAATCATTGGTCTACAATGACACTTCACTCCAATACTGAGTTTATACGTCCTCAATTCCTCACATTTCCAGCTCCTCCAGGCTGAGCTTTTTGTAGAGGTCTTTCACTTTTATGCAAATAAGCTTATTTTGATCAAAATTACATAATCAATGTTTTCAGCAGCATTAAATTGTGTACTTTTTTTTCTCATCTGTCTGTGTGGTATTCTGTATAAAGGCTGGGTTTGTCTAAGATTTAAGAAACAATTTGTTTAAGTTTGAAAAAAGAAAAAAAACTTAAGCTGCTAATAGCATTAGTATCCCTATGGGGTATTATATGCAAATTAGCATCATGCTAACCTTTATGCGTCTGTGTTTTTAGCAGTACTTCAGTGCAAGTGAACATTTTTGGGCACATATTAATGCTATTATTATGGTCTGTGGGATTAATTTCAATATTAAACTCTATCTTTAGAGTAAGATGTAAAAGTAATATATTTTCATGTGGTGCTGTTTTTGGCCGCCGTTGCTAGGTGAGGCTAAAACAAGATGCTGGTTTTTATTAGAACTTAAGATTGTTTCTAGAAGTAGCATAGATACAGAAATAAATAAAAAGCCTTTGACTTTCTAACATTGAAAGCAGCAACATAAACACATGTTGCTTTGTTTTCACATAGCATTTTGTGGCCTTTTTGCTGTCGCCTAAACCTCTGGTGTCAAACTGAAAACTTATTTTTCTTTCACCATCAGCAATCTCTCTACAGATTTTCCCACCTGAACTGCAAACTTCTGCAGCTGCTCCTTTTTCAAAGCAATGTTGGCAGAAAGAACAGCCTGTCATGTTTCTAAAACAAACAGCGGCGCCAATCAAGTGGTGATGGTAGTTTACTGAAAATACACATGACCTCAGTAAGGGCATCTAAAGCAATGGAGAGAAGAATCCCAACAATTTGTGTACAAACTAAGTTAGCTGGGAATGCTAATGACAGGAAGGAGAGGCTAGAGAGTCTACTGGGCTCCTTCTGCTTGAGACTGAGGCTTTATCCGGCCTCCAACTGATGACCGCAGCACTCACTCATGCTGTCTGCGGATCTCTTCTATATCTGCGTTCTCGTTGTTGCTGCTGGCCTTGCGGGCTTTATCCAGCTCCTTCTCCAGTTCCGTCCGGTGAGCGTTTTTCATCGCCTCAATAGCTGAGATAACAGGCAGGAAAATACAGTTAGAAGAGATTTCTCTGGGTCTTTTTTAAAAAAAATCACAGCAGCATGAGGCGGTGAAGGTAGCTTTTACCAGCAATTGTGGCTGCCGTTTCCTCCTCCAACAGTCTCTCTTTCTCTTCCTTCAGGTTCTCCAGCTCCCTCTGGTGTTTCCTCTGTAGCTCTTCGATCACCTTCTGATGGGACTCTTCCATGGCGGCAAAGCCTCGCTCACAGGTGGCCTGCAAGACAACAAGGGTCGCAGTTCTAGGTTATCTGCAGATAAGTTTGGTACCTGCTCATGTCGGCTGAGGGGAGGGTAATCCATGCCCCTTTAAATTTCATAACAAGGTTAGAGTCTTTCAGCCATGAGCAAGAGGAGTGTGTTTGAGGACAGAGGGTTAGGAGGAACGACAGGAAGCACGATACGGAGAAGAAAGGCACAGACGGTCGGAGGAGGAGGAAAGAATGAAGAGCTGCCACTTCCTGTAATCGTCAAACAAGAAAATCCCTTTTTATCCAAACATCATCTGCAGAATTTGAATCATATCTAACTGATGGCAGAATGCTGGGCTACACTGATGGACACCATGAATAACAGGACAAAACAACACTCCAGTGTGTTCTGAGTGAGAGATTTCCACAGGAGTGTCCTCCTCACTGGGGGAACTGACCCAGGGATTTAGGGAGAGGTGGAAAAGTCCCCCTCCCCCACCAACATGGAGCTAATGTAAACTTCCTGCTCCAACATCCGACGCAGCAGCTTCAGAAGCTTGTGAAGTCATTTATTTAGTGTTTAGAAAAGATCCAGGTCACAGCAGGGGCACAGTCTCACTCTGAACCAGACCTGCTGGACTCTGAACATGTGTGAAACCTTTAGGATGTCCTCATGTTTGTTCAAATCATTTATCTCCCCTCTAGAATGAAGCTAAAAAATACATTTTCCTTAGAAAAAAATAATCCCTACTTGAAACAAACAAAAAACAACTAACCTGCAGTAAATGGGCAGCCTCTGCTGAAAAATACAGGTATTTTTAAAAGAGCCTGATCAAAGTAATAAGGTATACTGACATTTTAGTCACAGCTTTAACTGCAGAACTTATTGGTCTATATCAATTTTAATGTTAAAGTAAGAGAGGTGAATTTAGAGTTTTCCACTATATAGTTTCACCAGACAAGGGTGGAAAGTTCACACTACAAAAAGAATCTAGAAATAAGTCAAAATGTCTTAAATTAAGTGTATTTACCCTTAATTTGAGTAGGTAAATAAGATTAGAATGAGGATTTTTACTCTTAAAACAAGGTAATTTAATATACACTTCAAGTAAGACAATGAAATGTTTTTTTTTTTATTTTATTTTAAATGTAAATTGTCTTGTTCAAAAAAATAGAAATCTTAGTAAGCCAAATAAATAAGACAATCTGCATTTAAAATAGGAAAACAAAACAACTGCAGTCTCTTATTTAAAGAGCAAAATAAATCATTATTTCATTTTAAGGGTAAACATACTTATTCCACTGGCAGATCATCTTATTTACCTATGCAAACCAAGGGTAAATATTCTTATTTTAAGACATTGTTACTTGTTTTAAGAGCATTTTTGCAGAGTAGAAATAAAGATGAGGTGTTTGCTATGACCAGTTACTACAGTGAATCATCCATTCCTTCTCTTTAATACTTTGGATAACTATGATTAACTGGCAAAGGTATCCATCAGTGATTTAATATCAATCTTTCAGAAATATCAGTATGGAATAATTGTAAGAAATAAAGATCAGGTGACAGTACAGTGACCCTCTAACAACATAAAATGCAAGGAGGTGTTTCATTTGTTCCTAAAAGTCAGAATTTTCAAGTTTTTGAAAAATGATCAATCGCCCCTAAATTCCAAATACCGACTTAGAAAGTCAGTCAACCAAACGTTCACTGTAAAACCAGTTGGGGTGCAAAATGAGAAAGGAAATGATCTATTAGCACTTTTAAAAGCTGGAGTTCCTTTAAATCAATAGTTTATATAGGTCTCTAAATAACTTCTCAATGAACCTTTATTGTTCTATAAAATATATGATCAGTTTGTGCTCTAATTTGCTGGATTTGACACCAAACTTTGTAAGGTAGGTTTAAGATGAAACGGAGCATAGATCCTCAGGTTGTTTGTCAAAATGAAAGTATATAAAACTTATATCCTAGTTATTTTTATCCAGGTTTCTTGCGTCACTAGTGGCTCCTTTATTGTAAAGTGGGCAGACAGTAAAGCAGGTATGAGAGAGGGGGGAGAGGCGTGCGGCAAAGGACCACAGGCCGGATTGGAACCCGGATCGGCTACGTCCAGGACTGAAGGCTGATTTATACTCAGAAACCAGGTCGTCTGCTTGTGTGTCGCAGTGAATGCAATGGTGCTCCCGCCCCTTCTACAGACACTCTGCTGCACCTCTCCAAAATTGTAGGTGACCGCAGACAGGTGGCCTCTGATATACATCCGCTCTACTCTATGCGAATTTCCTGTTTAGTACCTTACTGGCTTGTTTTGTTCATATGACCGCCTTGTGGAAAACAACTGGTGAAGATGGACCAGCTAAAAGAGTGAGGTGTGTGAGAACGCTGGGACCCTTTTCCCACCTGGATCCCCGCTCTTTTTCCCCCTCATGTCCCTCCGTTGTCGCACAAACTTGCCCCCACTTCCTCCCCGCCTCGGCCGTGTCTAGACCCACAGCTAGTTCTTGATAGTCCCTGTTGCGTTGTGGAATAATATAGCGCAGACCACGGTTCAATATTCGGCAGTAATCAAAAAATATTTGCGACACGCTCACTGCGACACACTGCTGCGGGTGGATATCCAGCCCTTAAGGCCTCTGACATGGGTTGTGTGCGCTAACCAGTGTTCCGCCAATGCACACCTATCCTAGTTATATTTTAATAAGGCATAAAACTATGCAATAGGACGTAAACAGGCTGCTATGATAACTCTTCTCCAAATACACTCCTTCATTCTAAACATACATTACACAATTATTCTGATAAATGATCTGAATGACATCTAAAGACAGTTCTGCATGCTTCAGAGGAACAGACAAAAGCTAGTAAGTTCACTTTGTTGGTTTTAAATACTGAAAAATAAAAACATCTTTATTTTAGAGCAAAAGCAGCACGTTTAGTTAAACAGTTAGTATGGAAAAGATGAGGGAATGAGGAAGTGAACAGCCAATAGTTACCTTAAAGGCTTTTAAAATCTGGTTATTCCAATTTTACACCATATTTCACAGTTTTAACATTGCTTCCATAATCTAAAGTTGCTATTTTAATCTTAGGGATGAATAGGGGCTCATGTGCTTCCTTCTTGCAGATCTTTGGTTGATAGTTTATCAGCTGCTGATGGCTCTACAACCACAACTGAAGAATTGTCACATGAGCCCTTTGGGATGTTAGTTCTCATGCAACACAGAGGAAACAAGGTTTACGGCACAAGGAGCCAAAGAACAGAGAGCAGGGTTAGGAGGGGGTGGTTAGGTTGGGGAAGGAATGGGATCTGGGAATGCCACAAAGGAAAACAAGGCATCAGCGACGGGAGGACGGCAACGACAAGGAGCGCTTCCACCTTTAGGTTTTCCAGGTCTCTCTCGTATTTCAGCCTCAGGGTGTTTGCGTCACCCTGCTCGTCCCGTCGCCTCATCTCTTCGGCCATGGCCGACACTTGGCTCACCAGCTCCTGAATGCGCTCCCGCAGGGCTGACGTTTGGGCCGAGGCCTCCTGCGGCAGAGCGTGCTCGTCCGTTTCGTTCCCCTCTCCATCTGCCGGGCTCATTGCGCTTCTCAACTCTGCCATTTCCTGCTCGAATCTCTCGAGGAGTTCCCTCTTTTCATCCTCGTGCTTGTTTTTCAGGTTCTCCATGCAGTCGGTCAAGGAATCCATCTCTTTAATATTTTTCTCCGAATGAAGGCGCATTGCTTCATTGGCCTTTTCAACCTCCTGCCTCAACTGTTCAACTTTCTTCTCATAGTTGGTTTTTATGTCTTCTAACTCCTTCTTGTGCTTGGCTGCCAAGTCTTGAAGCTCAGAGTTTTGATCCACAGAATCAATTTCACTTTTTTTTGGCGAGGCCAGGGAAAGCTGGTTCTGAAGATCTTCCAGCTTGGACTGGAGATCATTAGCAGCTTCTTTTAATTTAGGACAGTTTGGACAATTCAGGCTCCCCGTCTGTACTGCCGTCTCATTTTGCTTTAACTCTATTTCATGCTGGGCCTTCAGTCTAACGATCACATATGCCAAGCATGCTTCTTTGAGGGAATCCAGAAGATATCTGGAAGCCTTTTTAGGTTCCTGCATGAAACCAAAGCTCGTTAGAGCCACAGGAAGAAGTTTATCATCTCTGTTCAGTTTGAGGCTGGAAGCAATCTGCTTCAAATCATGAGACCTTCTCTCCAACGTTTCTCTTAGCTGTCTAAGAATCATAGCATATGTTTCATCATCCAGCCAGCTGTACATTGTTGTGAAATCCACTGGTATTTCACCATCTTCTCGCTGGGAACCATCAGTCTTCCCCAGCAGCTCCAAGCTCTTCTGCGCCTTTATCTGCTGGAGCAGCTCTGACACACCGCTCTGTTTCTGTTCTTCGGATTTTAACTCTGTGTTTCTCAACAGCTGGCTCCAGAATTCCCACTCCACCACTGAACTCATCTCATTTCCACCGATGCAAAGAGGTTCTTCCTTACAAGAACCTAATAAAGTGCTTTTTAAAAGACCAAGCATCGTCTCTACGCCACCATCTACGTTTGCTAACATCTCTACGACTTTATCTAATGCCTCAGACCTCATCTCCAACTCAGCTACCACTTCCTTTAAGAATCCTTCCTCGTCAACCTGCTTATCTCCTAAATTATCACTCTCACTAACTTTCTGTCCATCTCTACTATTTATTTCTAACCTCTCTCTTAGAATCCTCACTTCATTTTCTGCTAGCCTCTCCTGGCTAACTTGCTCTATTTTCTGGTTTAGTGCAACTAATTCATTGTTTCTGGCTTCCAGCTCTGCACAGCGCTGCTCTGTGATCCGAAGGTTATCCTCGGCCTCCAGCACCTTGGCTTGAGAAGCGTCAAGCAGCTCTCTAAAATGTTCCTCGTCTGGATGCAAGTCCTCATCCTCATAGTCCGCCTGGAATCCCAGCCCTCTTAGCGTGGCCTCTTTTAACTGGAGCTTCTTCTCCGTGTCTTTAAGAGTGTTGCCTAGTTCCTCCAAGGTAACCAAGGCTTCATGGAGCCTCAAAGACTTCTCATTGAGCTCTCTCTCATAATACTCCCTGTCTATAGCGTAAGCTTGATTTTCTGCCAGTTCTGCCTTCAGTCTTTTCAGCTCCTCCAAGACCAGATGATGCTGTTTCCCACCCTGCTGGTTGATGAGTTCTGCTTTTAGTCGGTCTATTTCTCTGTCGGCTTCCGTCAGCTGGTTAACGATCTCCTGACATCGTTGTTTTAATGCGCTGTTTTCGCCTGTTAACAGCTCAACCCTCTGGGAGAGCAAACCTGTCGTAACGTCGCTCTTCTCTGAATGGTTTTCTATTTTGCTGTAGGGGTTTTTTAGCTTCTCCAAACTTTGCTTCTGAACTTTTCCCATCATATCCTCCATGGTTAGAAGACGGGCTTCATATTCTCGTATGCTCTCTCCTGCTCTGGCCAAGCTCTTTTTTAAAGTTTTATTTTCTGTCTCCTGCTGGCATTTCCAAGTCTCTAAGAGCTGCTGAAGTTCATGATTTCCTGCGGGACTTTGAGCGAAGGTATGAAGCTTCAACACACTTCCGAGCTCCTTCAGAGTCAGAGGTTCACCGGACAGGAGATCTTCCAGTTCCTGAATGACATTTGCACTGTCCTCCAGCAAGAAGCTCACTCGTTTTTGGACAATTTCAGAGGGAGCGCCTTCCATGGTGGGGGGCGTTTGATCAGAAAGGTTAGGCTCCTCGGCGGAGGGGTGAGAAAGCGAAAGGCCAAGCTGTGCCTGCATGTTGCGCTTTTTCAGCTCTTGCAGCTTCAGGAGCTCTTTGGTCTCCTGGTACTTCTTTGTTAAACTCTGTGCTTGAGAACTAACCGGCTCGAGCCTCTTCATCTGGGGCGTCACGTCAGCCTCCAGACCCAAAGGATGCTCCAGCTTGGAAAAGGGGACCAGACAGTTGGTTAACACACAGCAGGGGAGACAAAAAGCTTGCTAATAATTTTGCTGTCATTTTCAAATCAGTTTTACGATTCCTACATATTAAACAAAATTACAACTCTATTTTTTAATTTCCTTTCAAAGTTATTGTACAAAAAAAAAGCAGAAGGAAGGAAACAAAAGTCCGAGGTTAGTTGATCACAACGAAGCATGCGTGTTAAATGGTTATTTGTTACATCATGTAAGTAATGCAATATTAGTTCCAGCTGGAAGGTTAACTCAAGAACAGAGGGCATACAAAGGTTGTATATTCCTCATACCAGTGCAATTTATTCCTGATGAGACAGTGTTCATCTAATTAAAATCTAATCTATGTAGTGGACTGGGCTTAAACCACACAGATCGTTCACAGCAAGACAAAAAAACAGGCAGTGGCACCACAGCCTTAAATATCTTAAAATAATATAAAACAGTCAATAACTCAGCTTTACCGAAACCTTTATTACATCGATAAACAGGAATACGGCATCACACAGCTATGTCATCATATACTGTAGTTCTACAGGAAAATGTTAAGAGAAAAACAGAAGGATGAGATTTGCAGAAATTATTAGAAGATATGAATCTGACATCCATGCCAAAAATTAGAACAAAAGATGTTATTTAAGGTTTGAAACAACATCTTAATAATGACTACAAAGGATATTTCACTCTAATTAGACTAAAAATAGAAGGTTTACCATTTTACAGAATGCTCCTATAGGTAAACACCAGCATTTTAAACAAACTATATCTTTTTTTATTTTTATTTTTCTTCATTTTTTTATTATTTATTTTATTTTTTTCATGTATTTTTTCATTTTATTATTATATAAATAAAAAAATAAAGTATATCTAAAATGTAGATGATGGAAGCTGCAGAGGGAAAGGGAAATGCTTTAACTGCAATAAAAGCTCTGATTAAATACAAACTACAAACATTTGAAGTCACTCTGAGATTTGGAGCAAATATTACAAACAAAAAGGAAAAGTAACAAGAGAAGAGAGCTTATATTTGTGAAATAAATGGTGAAATATTCTCTTCGTAGTTATCTTGTGTTTTATAGAGATTCACCAGGACACTGGCTAATGACTGGAACTGGCCTGATTGCAAAATACCAAACTGGTTCCAGTAACCACAACACTCTTCAGTGGGGAAGGTCATACTAAAAGATTGAAAATAATGACTTTCACTTTCAGTGTGGTGTTTAAAAATGAAATAAAATGAAAGGCCTGTCATGTCCCCACCCAGGCTCACTCAGACTCACTGGTCTTTGAAAGGAGCAGGTCATTCAGCTCTTCACCTTTTTGTCTGACTTCTACTGAACTTTTTATTCAAGGATGTCTAATCAATACAGCAGAAAAAGTGAGCCGTAAAGGAGCCAACTTTATCAGGAAGAATGAACCTTAAGGATCAAATTTCCTAAACTAAATTTACAATAGAAGGAGCGAGAGAGACTCGCTCTAAGGAACTGGTGTTCGTCTGCATCTCCGTGTGTGGATCCTAAACAGAAAGCATTGAATGTGCAGGAAAGTTTATCACATTAGAGTGAAATGATCCTCTGCAAGTCACCCTAGCAACTAGCAGGCATTGCTGTTGTGGTTTGTATTCGATGCATTTCTGAAATAAGGAGAATGAGCTCTAAAACAGAACAGAGAGAACGTAGAGACTATTAGAAAGTCAATAGAATAACAGGATTTTATTGTTTGATTCATGCAATGAACTCATGCAAGGCCTCAAACCCATAGAGTCTGTAGATTTAATGCTAGTTTCTATTGTTTTATTACATTAACTTAACATGCAAAGAATGTTACAATAAAAGTGGAAGTTACTGCCCAGCACTTCATGAACTGTTGAACCATCTGCTACAGCAGAGCTAACTAAATGTAAGGCCGCCTGCTGACTCACCGGGGAGATGTAACCGGAGCGGATGTCCTGCTCTCGCTCCAGAGCGATTCTCAGCTGGAGCTCCAGCTCCTGCTTGTGCTTGTTTGAGTCGAGGAGCTGCTGGTGACAGCTCTCCAACTGGGCCTTCAGGTCCTCTATCTGCAGGTGAAACGTTTGCACCGTTTAATTAACAGGAATAACTGGACATCAGTTAAATATGCTCGGTTCTTCTTTTATTATGGAAACTACACCAGCAGGGCTGTTATACCAGCTTTAATCCATTTTAAAGTCAGCTATAAAATGACAACAATGATCAGCCGCACCCTAAATTTCCTCTGTTTTTCTCCCAACCAGACTGAGACTTAGACTTATTAACAACTTTCCCCTGTTGCCAAACTGACAATTTTGCCAGATTCCACTGTTAAACCGGCTAAAGTGTTTTAATGTGACGGCACTCCAAATCCACAGAAAAATCTCCTGTCCACTATAAAGCAACGTATTCTGGCAGATCACCGATGGCTAAAAACTCTGATTTGGGCCAATTCTGTCACTGTTAGGTAGAATAAATTCACCATAAACCATCGATGTTCCAATATGGCCTTATTAAAAACTTTAAACAATGCCAGAGATGTAATATATATATATATATATATATCATTGTTTAGCAGAAGAAAATGAAAAATTTAATTTTCTCTTAATAAATAAAAGTGTTATCTTTTATACAGCACCTCCTTTGCCAATTATCTCAAGGAAAACATATTGCTGTATTTACAGCTGCACAATTTTTCATATACGTCTGGCCAAAATCTGCACTTCCTGTTTACGGACATTTTAGAAGAATATCTACAGTCGTGTCGGGGTAGGTTTGTGCTTTAACTGATTAAACAAAGTTCTGTGAGACGTTTCAATCTTGGGATGATGTTTTTAATCCTAATACAGGGTTTATACAGGAATGAGTAACTCTAATTTAATGCATTTAATGCTCTTAAGAAATAATTTTAATGCCATCAACAAGTATCCATGACTCTCGTATATATATATATATATATATATATATATATATATATATATATATATATATATATATATATATATATATATATATCAATTACGGCAAAATCCTTCGTCATCTTTATCGTCGACAGGTTGCAGTTATGTCCTGAATTCCTCGTTTTCCAGCCACTTTTTATGAAATTAGCATTTTCCCTGTTCTCTAGCTTTTTCTCCGCCTCGAGCTTCTTTTCCAAACGTACAGCTTTGCGATTAACCAGAAGCAGTTCTGTGCAAAAACGTGGAACAAGTAAATGCTAATCTAATTCTCAATTCTACATTTTGGGACAATATATGTCTAATAAAGAGTACATTTATATACATGTTTAAGCCAGAATGATTTGACATTTAAATATGATTTCCCTACGACTTTAAAGGTGATATAGAATACAGTACAGTATGATGGCTGTTGTCTGCGCTCTCTGGGTAACGTACCCCTTGCTTGTAGCTGTCCAGGAGGAGCTCCAGCTCTGTGGTTTCTCTGGACTGCGCCGCGTTGGGCAGAGGGACCCTCCTCTCCTCCCGGATGGGCGTCTTCTCCACCTGTCTCCAGTGTTCTTCGATCACCTCCTCCACCCTCTGCTGCTTCTGCAGAGACGTGGGGCTGGCAGAGACGGTGCGTTCGACGCCGTCGTCGACCTCGCTCTCTATCCTCCCTCCATCTGTAACAGACGTGTGATCAGGGCTGCTCACACCTTCGTATCTCTTCCGCCTCTCCTCTCTCCTCCTGCTGCGATCCAGCTCAGCTCTGTCTGCCTGGAGGCTCTCGGCTTCCTGCGCCCTCTGCTGAGCCAGAGCCTGGGCGATCGGCCTGAATTCCGCCCAGTCAAACGTCTTTGATCTGCCTTCTCGCCTTCGCTCTCGCGCTCTGCTTTTGATGATGCCTGGAGCAGATTCTCTCTCCACTGAAGAAGCATCGGAGGAGGGCTGAGCTACATCCGGTCTAGCAAGACCCTCGAAAGCAGAGAAGGAGCCGTGATCATCTGTTGAGCTGAAGAGCAGGAAAACAAAATGAGAAACATTATCCTGAGTTCAATTCATCAGAAAAGGGATAAAATGGAACAACTCATCACATCTCTGAACAGCGCTCATATTGACTTCTCTAAACTGTCCTTTATGAACGTAGCTGGTGCCTTAGATCCTAATGGGGCTACAGAAGAACAGAGACCCATCATTGCTACAGCTCTGATTGACCCAAAAAGGTATCTGCAGAACTGTAACACCTGGGATATGAAATGCTTAGGATCATGGAAACAGATGAGGCTAGATGAGTCGTTCTGTTTAAAGGAACAGAGAAAGCAAAGCTGGAAATAGTTATAAAACTAGAGCCCTACAGAGAAACCTGAAAGATTTTCAGTTACGTTTTTCACAATTTACATTTATTTCCAGTCAGTGAAGCACAAACAGCTTCTGTTAACAGCAACACTCTTCAGTGGGGAAGTGTTTGCCAAGTTATACTTAACCAGCCTAGTTTAGAGCTGGAAGCTTTTCTAATGTAAACCTCAGCCGCCATGTTTTTCCTTACAATAACCTTTCTAATGTCACCTGATGCATCTTATTCAGGCATCTTTGCTGCCGTATGTTCAGCCTTCCTGCTTTCTGTTGATGTTTAAAAGCATTGCGTCTGACCACCTCCATAAAAACTAGGATTAATATTTTCTCAAAGCGTTTAGCTGTTCAGCCAACATGGAGCAGGACATTGCAAACTGGGCGAAGTGAACGCCTACTTACCTGGCCACATCGGGGGCGGTGGAAGGTCTCACATTCTTCATGACCGCCTGGATCCAGTTCCTACGGATTCCTGCCGTCATGGCCGACAAAGTGTGGACTCCTTCCTGAGTCTGAACGCAGATTAGCACATAATGAGCAGAAATCTTTAAAAAGAACAAGCCCAACAGAAATGGAAAGGTTCATACATGGATCTGAAACCCGTAGTTGCGTTGAGCCTGGTATTCAGTCACATTGTAACAGCTGGAAAGGTCAATCTCACCATCTAAATCAGAGGCCTGATGGGAGAATAAGAAGATTAACAGGATATCCCTTAAAAAATTAAAAACAAAACAAGGAAGAATGAGCTCACCTCCTCTGCTATTGAATCTTTATAGTATCTCAGGCTGTGATCCGTCAAAACAAACCAGTATTTCTTCCACTAGGAAAGACAACAGAGGCGATTGGCCACATAAAGTCCATAAGAAATTATTTTAAAAAGCTAATCTCTCCAGCAGTCAATAAAAACCTGCTCTACATGACAGCAGCAGCAGTTTTCATCTCTCATATATAAAAGCAAACGTCTTGTCATTCCATCGGAGGTAAAACATGAAAGCGAGGATGCAAGAGGCTACAAGAATCCTACAGATGCTTAAACTACTTCTGGCCTCTTTGACCAACAAACATGGGGTCGTTTCCCAGTTTTGGGCTTGCGACTCTCCGTACCTGGCCTTGCTCGTCCAGCTTCACCATCCAGCCTTTCTTGAAGTTCAGCAAATCGGGCTAAAACAAAGAAACAAGCAGCAGAGAAAAAAAAACAGAGATGAAAATCAAAGCTGAACGTTGCGCTAAAGCAACACTTTACTCCTTCCCTCTGGATGAATAAGGATGATAAAGAAGTCCTCAGTGAAGTATTCACACCCTTAAAAGCATCTTCGTTTTGTCACATTACAACCACTAAACTGTTTTACTGGAGGTTTCATCAAAACCTCCCCAAACAATGGAAAAGTGAATGGGAAAAAAATACACAGTAAAAACGTAAACAGTATATAGTAATTTGCCCTATTCCAATATGCTGCAACTATTCATTTTATAAGTTTTATACCTAATAAAATATATGTTGAAGAATATTAATTCTACCTTAATTTGTTATTGTGCAATTACTGTGCATTTATTTTTTTTATTTCATTCTTTGAAACACCTGAAGTTTTATCTAACTTTATATCTTGTTTAACTTTACATTGTTTTATAAACCATTAAATCAGTGGTTGAGTCCCTGAGTATGGAAGACCTGGAGAGTCACTGAAAAAAAACAAAACAAAAAAAAAACAGCCATTTCAAATTTAACATTTAAATCATGCGATTTTAAGTCGAATTTCAAAAGAATTTTCTATTTGAACATTTTTAATTGAATTACTTCTAAGCTGTATTTATTAATTATTTATCAAATACTGGAATTTGTATGCATTTTCTAATCCCGTCTCTAAAATGAGATTTAACGACAATTCACAAATCTCATTATTAATATATCTTTCCTAATCCCACATTTAAAACTTTTCATTTTTCCATTTCCAAATCCTTTTTTTGATATTGCCTTTTGTTTTTACTTTCCTCAGTTTACCTTTTCTGTGACCTTTCTGGTCCCTGAAAACCAGTTAAACCAATCAGAGATGCTCCTCAGAGGGACCCAGCCCTCATTGGTTAGATTGCCACACTTTGATCACAAAATAACCAATAAGAGAGCTGGTTAAGTCTGAGGAGCAACAATCATTGGTTGAACTGGTTTTCAGTGTGCTCAGTGAAAAGAAAAGGCAAATGCAAAAAAAGGGTTGGAAAATAAAAGGTGAAATAAATTTAAAGAATTAAGGAATAACCTTTTTAAATGTGTAAATAGGAAAGGTATTTATAATCAATACATTTTCACTCAGAAATAGGATTTAAAAATACATTTTCAAATTCCAGTATTTAATAACGGATTATTAAATACAACAGTACAATTCCTCTTTGATAATTCAATTCAAAATGTGCAACTGCTTTTCAAATTGATTATTTAAATCTCTTGGTCCTTCATACTCATGTAGCGTTTTTATCCCAGAATTTTTCACAATCGAGTCATTTTTAAACCTTTTACTTGTGTATTTTTGGGTAGTATACCCACCTCTGGTGAGGTGGAATAAAAAAAGCAGTAAGTTTTCAATTTGTTTTATGGATATAAATGTAAAAACTGTGTGATATATGGTTTTCAGCCCTTAAATAAAATCCAGCTCAGATTCACATAAATTGCTGTAGAGTCAATCAAATTGCAAGCGAACGCCTCATGTCCTTATAAGCTCATCCATAAAGAGATCCATTTTTGATATAATTATTTGGATATTTTACTTTACAAGTAAAATGAACTTTTATTAGTTTAAAGCATAATGGTGGCAGTATCATCCTGTGGGATAACTGAAGCTTGTCGGTTAGCAATCCAGGGAAACGAGTCAAGATAAATACGGGGCGGATCTGAAATAAATTCATTCATAGATGTTTTCCATCCAAACTAACTGCTCCTGTATGTGTTAGTGGTTGTAACATGACATACAAGACAAAAGGGTTTGAATACTTTTCTAAACGACACACAACACACTCCCAGTCGGTCAGCCGTGGGGAGAAGCTGACCCTACACTGGAAAAACGATCTAGAAATAAGTAAAATATTCTTAAATTAAGTGTATTTACCCTCAATTTGAGTAGGTAAATAAGATAGTTTGCCAATTGAATGAGTGTTTTTACTCCTAAAATAAGATAATTAGTTAATATCCACTAGAAATAAAACAATGCAGTTGAGTTTTCTTATTTTAAGAGTAAATTGTCTTGTTCCATCGGCAAAATGTCTCTGTTACCTCCTCAATCAAAGAAAAAATGCACTTATTTTAAGAAAAGATGACTTATCTAGATTTCGATTTTTTCCAGTGCATCAGTGGGACGGAGCGGTTTAATGCCGCCCACTAAACGGGGACAGCTTCTGCCATGAGTGGAGCCAAGTGGTGAGCTGCATGTCCAAACCGTGGGAACAACAACACAGACATCCGTTCAACTGGTGGCCACAGGAAGCAGTGTTCTCTTCTCACACAGAGAAGAAGAAGAGCAACATTTGCATGCATGGAGCATAATGAGGAGAATAACCTGGAAAGGAGAGAGAGCAGCGGGGGCTGCACTGCCCCCTGCAGTGTGGAGGTTTGGCCAACAATAACCTCACCCTGGTAACACCAAGGCCAGCGGAACATCAGAAATAACAGAAATAAGTCAGAAGCTCATATTAAAGCAACTCAATCTCCTACACTGTTTATTTACCTGCATGGTAACTAGAAACAAAATGGCAGAGGTTAATACCCGCTGAGATATTTCCTAAGGTTTAATTCTCGACAGCATTGCCTAACCAGTTCTGACCAGTCAGCCCAAACAACAAGAACCCAGTGAGCTCTCTGTGTAATGCTGAGGCCCCCGGCAAATGCTGCTGACCCCAGATCCCGCAGCTTAGCAGAACAGAGCCGAACAGGAGAGGCTTTGTCTGGGAGAGCAGAGACGCTCAGGAACACCCTGACCTTCCAACAGTCTCGCTTGAAGTTCTTAATCTGAACAAATCTGAACCTGCTCATTTATTGGTCACTAAGCGTCAGACTGAACATTAATTCCTCAGACTGCAGGATTTGTTTGCCAACAAGTGGGTTTAACTTTGTAGCAGAATGTGTTGATCTGATTTATTAGAAACTTTGACCACAACAAGAAACAGAACAGCAACATTTCAGCTGAGCAGGACTTGAAAGTCTTTGATTTAAGTTACAGAAGTCGTTAGCTGCCTTTTAGCCTTGTTTTGTTAGCATCAGGCAGACAGCTGATGAAGACTGACGAACTGGAAACAATCTGGAGAACTGGATGCGTTTGCCAAGAGGATGTGTAAAAACCTGATGATCAGGTTAACTTAGCTATCCAGCTGTTTACATAATAATAAGCTAAAGAGGCCAACAAGATGACGTTATCAGGGTTTTATTTGGTTATCAAAGACAAGAACAGAATAGAATTTAAAATGATCCTTCTTACATATAAAGCCTTAAATGGCCAAGCTCCATCAGATTCTGATTGTTCCTTATGTCCCTAACAGAGCACTTCGCTCTCAATCTGCAGGTTTACTAGTGGTTCCTAGAATTTCTAAAAATAGAATGGGAGGCAGATCTTTTAGTTATCAGGCTCCTCTCCTGTGGAACCAACTACCAGTTTTAGTCTGTGAGGCAGACACCCTGTCTGTTTTTAACTTTCCTTTTTGATAAAGCTTATAGTTAGAGTGGCTCAGGTTATCCTGAGCTATCTCTAGTTATGCTGCTATAGGCTTAGACTGCTGGAGGACATAGAGAGCCCTATTTCATCGTTCTATCTCAATTCTCCCAGTCTGCAGAATCTGTTAATTTAATCTCTAACGTTCAGCTCTCTCTGCTTTTTCTCATAGTAGCTTTTCCTCGTCTGTTCCTGTTTGGCGGTGACACCATAGTGGAGCGAAATATCAGCTGTGCTGCAGCAATCAACACCTTTGGTTACAGATGTTCAAGATCAGCCTGTTTTTCAGTGTAGTCCTGTTTTTCTGACTGTGACTGGCTGGATGTGCTCTCTTTCATCCTCTGACATGGGAGCTGCCTTGGAGCTCGTCTGCCTGGCTGTGTGTTTCCTGGACGGGGTTGCCTTTTACAGTTGCTTTTTGTGTCTCTGCTTCTGTCTCCTTGAACCCCAGTCGGCCTCAGCAGATGGCCGCTCACACTGAGCCTGGTTCTGCTGGAGGTTTCTTCTTGTTAAAAGGGAGTTTTTCCTCTCCATTGTTGCTACAAGCATGCTTAGTCTGAGGGATTGCATTTAAGTCAATGTAATTAACTGGTTTTCCTTAGATGGAAAACTTTGAATCAATTTGACTGTATAATCTGGTGAACTTTAAAGTTCCTTGAGTTTACATGTCTTGTGAATTAGAGCTATATAGATAAACTGAACTGAAAAGCCAACTGCATGTCTAGTCATTGCCAAAAATGTAACCATCTCCCTGCTCTGCATTCATTCAGTAGTATTTGCTCCCTACTCTGTTTTTTTAAACCAGGTCAACAGATCCACTCACTCCAGAACATATTGTAACTCACTGACAGCTGCAGCTTTGCTCCGACACCAAAAGTCCCATCTTCTTCCAGATGATATGCTAGGCTAACTTTAGCATCTCTGCTCCGTTTTGATCAAACGCCTTGATAATTTAGTTTATTTGTTAAGTTTATAGATCAAACCTCTAAGAAAGCTGGTAATATGCATCCAGGAGAAATCTGCAGACAGCACACCAACACCAACTACTGTAGTTAGGTTTCACCACAATGCTTTGATGCCCCAGCAGGATTGGAAAAACCCTGTTAAACAACAACCCTGTGTGTTTAATTTTAATCTAGCCCAAGAGAACAAACTTTACCTAAAAACATGCCTGTAAAAAAATGTACAAAAACAAACAATTATCCATAAGTTGGTCATTTCATTTTCTACTTTTTCTGAATCAATAAGTGTGTGTTGTGGGAGATTTTTGTTCAACTATAATATAATTCACTTTGGTGTATATGATGCAGCAGATATACGTCAGTTTTAGAAACTGTAGCTGAGCAGGACACTCACCGTCATGACGGATTCTGTGGTCCTACGATCCAGAGACTTGGCCCTCCTTAGAGGGGGCAGGGTGGAGCGAAAGTCCAGACCCTCGTTATTATCCTGCCTCTGACCCTAAACAGAACACAGGTTACAGAGATTGGCTTTTAAGTTTGTAATTCAACAATACCCTTAAAAAAAAAAAAATTAATTAACAGACAGTCTTCCTTCAATTTTCTTTTATGTATTATCAGTTTTTATCATGAACTGAAACTACGATGATTAATCCATGTAAAAGTTGGTGCTTTAAAGACTCAGAAACAGGAGGGGCCGATCTGTGTCTGCTGGAATCCCAGTCACTGTCCTGACGGCAGCGTAGAAACCAGAAACAAATCACAGCTGTCCCAGCTGGATGGTGGGAGGAAAAAAACCCAGTCACCTCTCTGAATGCCTGTGAGAACTCAGCGTATTAGTAGTGCGTATTACTCAGCACACCAGCAGCCTACACAGCTTTATCTGGGTTTGTTTATGCCGTTTCTCTCAGTGCGTGACCAACAGAGAGCCAGGACAATCAGCATTACTGGGCTGGAGCTGCTGAAGTCAGCTCTCAGTCAGTGCACAGGTCCAGGATGGGAAGGGAAAGTGTAATCATCAGGGGAAGCTCCACAATGAATGGAAACTTGAAATAAATACGGAACTGACTGCTGACCTTTGACCAAAAAGCAACAGAAAGAGAGCAGGGGAGAAGGGAAAGATGGAAATGAGGAGGAAAAAGGAAAAGTGTGGGAGGAGCTGGTGGTAATGGTAAAAGAGAAAGCCGCTGCTGATGGTTTTCCTCCACCATGTGATAAAGCTCAGGATTACAGTTCATGAACCTCACAGCGTCCAACCAGGTGGATCTACCATTACCTCTCTGTAGAGGCGTCTGTGCTCGCTGCGGCCCTGTCTGGCTCCATTTCTCTCCGTCTCCTCCACCTCCATTTTCTCAGGATTCTCCAGCTCCAAGGCCTTGAACTTCTCAATAACACCGGAGCGACTGAAAACAAACACACACACTTCAGTTACACCTCAGAACTCCTCCTGGAAATGATCAGATCAGTGCTTCTCCACAGCTATGGTTGCCTTACTGCTGTGCATCAATTCACATATGGAAGAGATCAAGGTGAATGCTTTATTTCTTGGCGCTGCTTATGAATATGATCAAAAGACCATCAAACAAGCAACTAATCTTCCATTTCCCTAAACAAAAATTTGTCTAAAAAAAAAAAAAATCTAACTTAATAATTAGTAGGTTACATGCAATGCAATAAAATACTGTTAGGGGTTTATTTCCAGCTTCTCACCATCCGGTTCATGATGACTTAAACGGCTCAGTGGTGAAAAGGATTAATCCATTCAATTAATCATTTAATTTAAAAGCACTAATCCATCACATTCTAGTAGAATGATCAAGCAAAGTTACGGGACAGTATGAATAGAAAGCAGTTATACGTCATCATAGTCTTCATTTGTTTGTGGTGCTGCACCAACTTGCACCACATTGTTCATCAAAATAATAGTTTTCCACGATGCCGCAATGTTAAATTTGACACCGTTACCATTAGTTATAAAACTAAGAAAATTAATTCCCAGGAAATTACAGTCAAGAATTGTAGAGAAATGTTCCTTTAATAGTGTACTACAGTAAAGCATCTGTCCTTAACATTTTTTCCTGCATTACTTTAACTTTTATACTTTAAGTAGTTTCAAAAATAGTTCTTTTTACCTTTTATCTGAGTAAAAAGCTTAAGTTTAAACTCTAAACTTCTACAAAAGTGTTTTTAAACAGTAGGATTTACACTTGTACTCAAGTAATAAACATGAATACTTTTGACACCTCTGGCTCCAAGTAAATGTGTTGCTGAAATCAACACGCTCCCAGATCACCATCATAGCAGAGCTTGGCGCCGCTCGCTTGTATAATCAAGATGACATTGCAACTATTTCTGCAAATTGAAGTTAATATTATGCAGCCTAAGGAAAACTAAGGCATGTGTTAACAGTCTGTCTCTAAAGGGGATGGTGGACTATTGGTTAGGGCATAGAACTGGGAATCCTGAGGTTCTGGAACAAGCCCCTTAACCCGACACTGCTCCCCAGGCACCACACCATGTCAGCCCACACATCCCCAAGCGGATGGGTTACATGCAGAGTTAAATTTTTCCAATATGAGATCAATTAAGTTCTATTAGTATTATTAAACAGATGCTTTGATATTACAGCCTGTTCCCAGAACCAATCTGTTTCTATGTAAAAATAGAACAGTAAGAAAAAAAAAAAAAACTGGGGGGGACCCTGCTGACTACCAGCTAACAAAGCTCCACCATTGCTGTTTTATCGCTGTAACTTTGTTGGGACTGGTCTGGATTACTAACCATAAAAATCCTATAAAGCAAACCTCCAAACAGGAAAACAAATGTAGCATTTATTAGGCCGTGCCAATAAGACGGAAACTTCACCATGGAGCAGATATTTCACATTTTCTCTTTTTTTCGGAGTGCAGTTTCAGCACCAGTTGCTTGGAACGTCGGCTGAGGTAGTGGAGTAAACAAAACAAACCATTTTGAGCTGCAGCACAACATATTATTAAAGCCTCAGGTCCATTTGTGAGTAATGAGTGCCACATACTTCTCCAGCCATTAGAAAAGTGCTAAAACAGATCGAGCGATTTTTCAAAATACGGGCAAAGACAGACGAAGCCCACTTAGTCCCTGTTGCCGCCTGTTCAAATAAACACGGGACTTCCTAATTACTGCCATGATTCAACAGATCCAGCAGTGGAAACAGACGACGACTCCTGGCCTTTAAAAGCATGCGGGTAAATCTTAAAGAGAATGTCACGCAGTGTCGACAATAAAGCAGTTTCTTCCTGTAATGCTGCTCATTTTCAAGTCTTTTCTAACAGACGACAGGACCACTCGCTGTGATTGAACTTTACAGAGTAAATGTTAAAATATAAATAGTGTAACTAAATATGAGAGGCAGATCTGAGTCCGTCTCACAGGGACGATCTGTGAAGGACCACAGATCCAAGATCAGCCTACTCTCACATCTGCAATCATCCTCAATCTGTGACACGATACACTTCACGTTGGGGCGCGCGCCCACGCAGGCCTTTTGTTCAACGACAGCCATCGACATCTCAGAGAGGAAGGAGGGTAAAGCCTCCATAACTCTAGCCTACATGTTGCCCTTATTTGGGGACTTGGAGGCTAAAGCTGTTGTCCTTAAATGGGAAGAAATGAGAGGGGAACCGAGTGAGGCTTAACGCCCAGCGGTGGACTTCCTTTTGTTTTCTTTAACTGCAGGATGAGAAAATGGGAATCTCTACTGCATCTAATCTGATGTAAGATAAGAGGCCGGATTTACTTGGATGTTTACAATAAAGAAATATGATATTTATCCTCATTATTAATGTTTACTTAGATATTAATGTGATAGATTTACTTTCCTGCTACTGGATTTGTTTTTAATGCTCTAATCTCTGGTGCATACGGAGCCTTTAATCTCCACGTCGAAGGCCTGAGATGAAGAATGTTAAACGATTCTAAGGATTCTAGGTGTTTATTAACTTAACAGTGTGAGTCCAGGACCTAAACCAACAAAGGAAACCATTTCATCTTCCAAAATGTCCCAGTTTTATTAGATGCAGCCTTTTCGCTTGTCTCCTACATTGGTTGTTGAGAGATCATCAGCAGACCTCAAAACTCTCAGTCTGTAAAAGGATAATCCAGTAGCTGAGTTATTTGTGGCTGAGCGTCATCAGGGCAGAGCAGAGATTCAAATAAAGCAGTCCAATAACCCGCTAATCTCTCTCTGTTTAAAGGCTTTACCTGTGGTTGCCAGGTTGCTGGGCTCTTACATCACATCGCCTGCTTGATGCGATCCTTCATTCATGAATCTCCAGGCCAGAACACGACTTTGATTGAGTGTAAAGCATCGGATGAAAACTGGGGAATATCTCCATCAGAGATCTGTTTCCAGTTCTGATCACAGCTTTTATTTTACTTTCCAACAGCAGCTCAATTGACTACATCAGGGGTGACCAATTAAAAATCAGTAGTGTCTGAATAAAGAAAATCCACCAGTAAAGGTCCAGAGACATTTTTAATTATAATCCAAATTAAACAGAAGTTAACACTTTAATAAAATGAGGTTTTTATGCATCCATGTTATAAATTGACTTTTTAAATAAAAAAAATAAAGTTTTTTTTTTTTTGAAGTAGAAAACAATCATTCAGTTTGGGATACAGACAATTTCCAGATTCCCATATTTTATAAAACACCTGAACTGACCGGTTGTTTTTTATTGTTTTTCTTCTTTTTTTACAGCTTAATGTTCGCAGTGGGCTTTATGCTTCCCTGCAAGGCTTTAAACCTGGGTTTGATTGGAGACAAAGCCATTCTAAAGCACATATCAAGATGCTCATTTTGAGCCTGGATCCATATTTATTGGTGATTCTGTTCATGGTGGAGAATCCTGCTTCACAGCAGCAGATTGAGCCAAACATCCTCAAAATGTTCAGGGTCATCTTTGAGCACACCATTTCACTTTTCTTTCACTAGTTCACCACAGTTCTTCCAGCAGTCCACGCTTTCTCTGCTCTCTTTTTCTCATCATCTTCTCCTTCTTTCCCACCCGGCTTGCCACAGGTTTTCCTACTGCGTCTAAAAGTAGCAGCAGCAGCAACCCAGACTGACAGCAGCTCATTGGCTAATGTGTATCACGTATAGCTTGGTCCGGGCGCTCTGGAAGGCTTTACCGTATTAACAGGAGAAGCAACGTGAAATTAGACACATGCCGTAATTTATAAATGTTTTAAATCAGGTTGGGTCCGGATTAGCAAGCAGGTGGGTCCGGATCCAGACCGCAATGCACCTATCCGTCACCTGTGGTCTACACCATACTGACTGAAACTCAATTTGGAAAATTCTAAACTTCTCGTGAATCTTAAACTTAAAATGTCAGGATTATCTGGTTACCTTCTCTCGGGACTGAGAACAGCCTCTCTCTCCTGCCTGTCGGGGCTCCTGAACCGGCTCCTCTTCTCAGCTTTCCTGGCCTCGGCTTCCAGCCGTCGGGAGCGTGGAGCGTCATGGTGGCCGCCCCTGTGGCCCGCCGGGTGGCTGTCGGTGCTGGTGACTGTGCTTCCGCTGGCGTCTGAGTCCAGGGAGCTGACTGAGCCGCTGATGTGGGAGCCGTTTGAGAGCAGGGAGCTTCCGGAGGGGAAGGGGTCACTGGGTGAAGGAGACTGACAGCGTGGAACGCCTCCCAAACTGGAGCAGGACCCCGTTGGGGAGAGAGGGCCACCGGGGGCTTGAGGTGCAGAGCCATGCAATGGAAGGCTGCTACGGTCCACTTCATCGCCGTTCACTGACCCGCCGTCAGAGCCTTGGCCCATAGGCACACAGTCACCTGGTAATGAAGGAAAACGAGGCTGAGAAAGGCCAGGAGAAGCATTCACAGGTCATCTTTTAAGACACAAATCCTTATGAGTCGTCTTTATGCTAAAGACATTTTCTTTAAGCATTGAAAAAAACAACCTTAAAGATTAAATTACTCAACTGAATCCCACCCATTGATTGAAGTACCAACAGATTTAGGAAAAGAAAAGCAGTTCTTGACATAAACTCTATGAAAAAGAAGCGCTGAATCTACCTGAGGAGGGCAGCGGTGAGCCTGGGGGCTGGTCAGAACCGGCAGCAGCCCAGGCCACTGCGCTCTCAGCCTCCCGCTGGTTCAGCTCCTCCTGCCAGATGATGGAGCTGGAGTCCGGAGCCTTATCAGCTTCAGGGATTCCAGAACCAGTCACGGCCACCTTAGCTGGACCCGGCTCCTGCACCAGAACACCAGGGTATAAAAAAAAATAGTTAATCAGGAGGCGGACTGGGATAGCTGGAATGGATATAATGTCTGACAGCTTTACCTGGGAGGTGGTGGGCTCTACTTTCCGTTTCTTTTTCTGGTTCTGTTTGTTTGTTCGGGGGTAAACAATCAGCTGCTCGCTCCACCTACAGAAAAAAAAAAACAACAAAAAACAAATCAAATCTACAAAATACTTCGCCCTTCCCTGCAAACCGCCAAACAACCGATTCAGCAGTAGTTTTACCCGTTGATGATTTCTTTATTCTCTCCTCGGATGAAGTACTCCTGTTCGGGGGTGATGATGCACAGAGAGTTCTTCTGGCCCGTCTTGGGCTCTGCGTCGATCACATCCGAGCAGAGGTTCATGTTGACGGTGCCCTGAGGCAGCGTGCTCGGCTGGAGGACACACAGCATGAAAAGTGAACCTCTAGACCCGCGATATTAGAAGCTGCATGTGAAGATTGCAATAAAAAGAAAGATAAACAGATACATGTGGGACCTTTTTTAAGCCGGATGGTTCTTGGTTTGTTTTTAAATGTCCATGTTGGGATTGTGGATGGGAGAGTGCCTGACTAAACACTGATACTTCTGCTCTCACATTCCAAACGGCTGAGAATTCAAAACCTAAGAGAAAGCAGGCCTCAGATTGGCAGCAGTTCACAGGACGGACATGACGGTTCCCCCGCCAAACAGTCTCATTTCGATCACACAGAGTGAAAAAGGGGAGAAGACAGACTCAAGATGCCAGATCGGGCGTTTTGGAGAACCACTGCCCGGTTTCTGAGCATCCAGTCTCCTGCTGCTTTCTTATCAGCCTTCGCTGGACTGAGTCTGTCACAGATGTTGTACAGGTGCTCAGGCTCCCTACAGGTCCTTTTAAGGACAAAGAGCACAGATCCAGCTTTATTAAGACCAGTGTGCAAACCCCAAAAAGCTGCCGAATAAGGAAAGCACAAAATGTCACGATTATGAGCGTCCAGACGGCACAGAGGAATTTCCTCTAATAAAACCAAACAATTCAGTGTGTGAATAAAAGAAGAACCAGACATCTATGACACCAGAAGGTTCAACATTAAGGAGGACGACCCAGGAAGTAAAAGCTCTTAATGAAACCCTTAAAGCAGGGGTCTCAAACGGGTTCCGTGTGGCTGCAGGTTTTCTTTCCAACCAAGCAATTGCACATCAGACTCCTGTCATCTCATCAACTGAGTGCAATCTGAACATGATGACTTCCTTTCTGGAACCGGTTTGACACCCCTGCCTTAAAGATTCACTACAATCTATCAGGAACAGATGGAATTCTAGCTGTTGATGCATACAGATAAATAAACAGTCAGTGATTAGATTAGTAGATATTAGTGAGCTTCACTATTTAATACAGAAAGTAAGAGCTAATTTTTATCGTCTCCTAATGAAAACTCCTGCCTTGCATCTTTTAAGCAGCCACTTTTAGAGATTCATAGATGTAGAAATGATTGAGGATTTTGAATCCTAAAGGGCAGATTAGACTTCTGCAACCGCACACATCAGATGTAGCTTGGGTCTGGTCTCAGACCAGTTTTTTTGGTATGCTTCTGCACTGTGGGTCTACGGATTGTACTTCCGAACCTCCTCGATTAACCTTTTGTCGTAGTTTTTCCTCGGTTTTTAAAAATGGAGCGCCCCGGCACTAAATCGAGATGGATGACCACACAGACAGCCGGAAAGAAATACCAAGGACCAATCACAGCTGCTTTTTGTCTGCGCGGGTTTGAGACCAACTGACACATAGTCAGGATTTTTTTGACGACTGTTGTAAAACAGAGACAGATTTGACAGTTGCAGACGCTATGCTTCAGAAGCATCAATTCACCTCAAATCTTTCTATTCAACAACCAACATTCAAAGTATCTTAGCAAAAGCTTCCTACAGTGACTGGTCATTGTTTATTTCCAAGACAAGTTACTCTAAATTGCTGAAACTGTAAAAGAAACCACATTTAACCTTAGCACCTTTAGCTAAATCAGCAACCTGCTAACTCTTTCTCATTTCCTCCAATGGGCTCCATATGATCCTTTGTTTATTTACCTAAACGTTCTCCCCATTAAAAAGTCGGGGTTTTATTGAACCCTAAATAACGTTATCAAACCCCAATAAACATAAAAAAAAGCCAAATCCTGAGTAGATCTCCTACAGGGCTGAAACCATTCGAGCAATTCCATTGATTTAATAATTAAAAACTTTGATTCAACTTTTCTCTCCTAAGCTAATTTAGTTACAACCTGGATAGAAGCACTTAGGAAATGCACTGAAAAATATATATTTAGCATTCAAAGCTCTGCTAAAAACAATTAAATGTCTACTAGGCTTGTCAAAACAACATATTTTGCTTAGTTTTATTCCAAAAAGGTTTATTTTAAAGATACTTATTGCCTCATGCAACATTTGTAACATTATAGGAAGACATGCTAACAATTAGCATGGTCGATGGGGAAAGCTTTAGTGAGTTAATGCACCTAATGGAGCCACATTTTAACATTCCTCTGAGAGCAACCAGAACCAGCTGTTTAAAACAGATGCTAACAGCTCAGTGTCTCCTAACACTGATTGTTGGATTAAAGGCGGCTAGATTACAGTTAGCTTACAGATTATTGCAACATAGCAAATTGAGCCTTATGACAGTATGTTGGAGTACATATCCTGTACTTTATTGACAATTTCACATCTCTGCACACTGGAAATATAAGTACTTCACATACTTCTTTTCTAGGGCTGCAACTATCGATTGTACAGATTGTTTTGCAAATTGATTAATCTCAATTAATAATAGGATAGCAAAAGGTTCCTTAAACAAGACTTTTTACGCAATTAAACCAGGTGAAACTAAAACTTTTCCACTTGATGAACCCTGGATAGAGCATATTGACACGGAAAAGTTCTTTTAATCTTAAATGCAAAATGTTTACATATTTTTTTATAGTAATGAGTAACCATAATTTAATGCTCTTAGAAATTATTTCAATGCAATCAGCATGTAACAATGACTTTCATATATAGATATATATAATATATATAACATTTTCCTATTTTCTAGCTTTTTCTCCGCCTCGAGCTTTATTTTGCGAACATACGGCTTTAGGATCAACCGGAAGCAGTTCCGCGCAAGCACACATAATTTTGATATGTGACGAAATTGTTTCTATTAATTAAAAAAGAAAAAAAAAGCATTTAAAATGCTACAATAATCACATTTAATGAATTTCAATGCCAATTGAGACCTTGATTCAAAAAATAAAATTAAAGAATTTTAATGATTATAAACATTTGTAAATGACCTGTGTATTAACTTATATATTAGAGTTAGGCTGATTTTTTTTGTAATTTTGTAATTTATACACAAAGAAATGTTGTTACGAACAGCTCTAGACAATGTCATTTTTTAAAGTGCAGCCTTGATAAGTTAAGCAGCAGTGATAAAAAACAGTAATATAAACATATGACTGTATATATATATATATATATATATATATATATATATATATATATATAAAACCTGAAAAACAAAGATATGACATAACAAACTAAGGTTGCTCTCATCTGTTCAATAACTATATTTACGGTAGACAGATATTATTTTGGAGTTGAGCTACTTATTTTATTTCATACTGCATGTGTTTGTTTAACAAAAATGTAAGATGATATAAAAGGGTTTTCTGGCACTACATTTTATCTTAATTGTGACTAAAGGTAAAAAAAAACATACTAAATAGATAAATCAAATACCTGTTGTCGCTTTTTTTTATTAACAGGAATATTGAAGAAAATTGTAACTAACACTTTAGTGGAACATCAGTATTTAAACCTTCGGTTACATTTTCCCCTTCCTAATATGGACAGTGAAACCATCTCGAAAGCGTGCCGTATGCTGTAAAGCATCAAATTAAAACATTACAAAGATTTCCTGTATCTAAAGGAGTCAACGTTGATGCAACAAGTATGAGGCTCCAGAAACGTCAGCCTCCTGAGATGAAGCAGATGTCTTTTCTATCTTATTTCTTGCTAAGAGGCGGAGCCTGAATTCCTGCAGACCATCTGATCCTGCTGCTGTCAGTTCAGACGAAAACTGCTGCTTAGATACAGCCCTCTGCCACTGGCACCGAAACAAAGAGATGCATCATCCAGAACTCAGAGTGATCATTTCAACACAAATCATACATCCTGGGTCTCATTTCTACTCAGCTGGGTCCAGTTCTGCTTCCTCCTGCTGTGCTTGCCATCCACATGGGGGACTATTTATATCTCTGTGAGGAGAAAACATCAAAGGAAGAGCTCTCTGATGTTGGAGGAATCACTTAAATGAAGCTGAACAAATATAGATCCATTAGAGTGGGATGGTTTCTATTAAATTAAAATACAGTGAATAACAAAGTTACAGAAGGAGCAGTAAAACCAGGTTTTGGCTCAGCTGTGAAACTAAGTGGAGTACACCCACTCCATACATGATATAAATCCTAGAAGAGGCTTTTACAGGCTGAGCTACAGGCTAGTTTACCTCAGCAGACTCTGGAGAGGAAACTGCTGCTTTATAAGCAGCATGTTCTCCAAAACACTTTCATTCATCCAAACTAAAGAGACAGAACCCAGCTGTGTCGCTGAGCGAGAGCCTAAAAACACATCCTCAGCCTCCTCCTAACTTCCCTGTTACACCCTTCAAGCCCAAAGTGTCAGGCCAGTCAATCAGGGAAAAACTGACTTCTCTCACAGTTTTCACGTCCTTCAAAAGCCAAGAACTCACTATTAAAAGCTGTGATCAGCATCCGCAGCAGAGTCTGGAGGTTGCTCAGGCGGGCCGATTGTGAGGAATGTCTGAGTCTGGGGCACATCTGACGTTTCCTCTGTGGGTTTTAAGGGCTAGCGTTCCCTTTCTCCTGCTCTCTGTTCCTGGGGCCTGAGAGCGCACTGCTGTTCACCAAATAAGGGAAAACTAGGAGGAATGCTGCTTTAGATGGAAGAGCATCTTTCCCTCTTTTTGTGGTGAAAATACTCTAGTTATGTGGGGCTGAACAGACTGCCGTCTGATCGGCAAAAAATAGCAGGAGACGTCAGCGCTCCGAGGATGTGTGGAGATCCAGAGGCTTAGAGCATCATTACAGGACTAACTGATCTTTTAAGCACAATTAGGCACCTAACTTAGCTTAGTTAATATTAAGCAATTAAGCAACAGCACTTAATTTGGCCTAATTGAATATAAAACATCTAATATATTATATATAAAAGGATATTTTAAATAAATACATCATCTCCCTCCCTCCATCTGGTTTTAGAGCTTTATAACTGTCTTTTCAGCATTCCAACACATTTAAAGTGTCGTTCTATAATTGACCCATTGTGAACTGTGAGGTAGTACCGTTAAACATACCAGGATTTTTTATGAGCGTGTGAAGTTTGCTAAAGCAAAGCGATTAAATTTGATTCATTAAATTCCCAATTTTAGCCCCAGTTAGACAACTTTCAATGTAACCAGCAGCTGATTAGAGATCTGCTCTAATCATTTGTATAAATGCTGAACTTCCAGCATGCCAAGTGGCTGCTGACATCAGGCTCTAGATTAACAGGTAGTTAGTAATTAACTAGTAATTATCTGTGCTCCTACCAAAGACAAAGAGGAAAAAGCAGATCATTTTCTAATCAATATTTTGCTAACAGCAAAGCTACCACATTTTAATTGTGTTTATCCCACATTTTTACGCTAGTCTATGGCTCAATACACAAATAAATGTTACAAATATAACATGTAGGATTAACAGTCAATGTTAGATTAGCAGCAGGAACATCTGTTGTGTTTTTTTTTTAAACAATGTGCAGACTCATACATAGCTTCAAAGTAATAGTGTCACATTTCTGAAGGAGTGAATTACTGGAGCCGTTGCAAAGGAGAGATTTTTGTCACATTACCTAAACAGTTTTCCCACCATAAAAGCTTTTCTTTAAATGCACATTTCTTCCTTCCTCTGTACTAAGTTGTTTCTAAAGCAGGATTGTGGAACAGTCAGGGTTTAAATATATTACAGAACCGTATAGAGGTTGTTCTCAGCTTATATAACCAATCAAATTGCTTCTAATTCTAGAGGAGACTTGAAAAGGCAATCCTGAGGGTTCTGAGAGGTTTCACAGGGTTGTTCTAATAGGCTTCTAAATCCATCTGTGGAACACACCTCTGTGCCCTCCACTGTTAGTAGGAGACCATAAAGTAAATATCCATAAGCTCAACGAGATCCAGAACGAGAGAACAGGTTGATATCAACACTCAATCCTTGGGGTCGGTAGCACAAAGAGGCAATGTCCTTGACCGCCACTTCCTGTTTCTGGGAGCAGATGAAAAGACCAAAGGACAATGTGGCGGACAGTTTTGGGAATCGTTGTTACAATGAGAGGAAAACAACTGCAAACCAGCCTGGGTGTCACTGGAAACACATTACACAGTGGAAATACACACAGTATTTTCCTAAGCTTCCTCCCATTGTCATCTCTGGCAACAAAGACATAGAGAGAGAGTCCCCAAATGTGAATTCAGGAGCTGGGCTGAAAGGCAAAGATGTCAGGAAGCCATTGTAAAGTTCGGCCCTATCTCTTCTCCAGTCACTGAGAGACAAACATGCCAAAAAGTAAAACTTAACAATGACAGACCAGCTAAAACCATCCAGAAGCAGCCCTTCGCTCTTTTTCTAGCAGGCTTCTGTGTTTCTAGCAGGCTGGCTAGCAGTGTGTGGCCCCCCATTGTTTGCACACAAGCAGCCTAATCTCCAGTCAGATCGGCCGTTATGGGTTTGGTCACCCGTGTCACATTCCCTGGCGACGCACAAGCACCACAAACAGAAGTTCACTTTCCTCTCAGAGCATGTTCCTGCCATCCCCAGTAGTCTGAAGATTACAGAGCTCGACCTCAGAAACGGTTCTCACCAACACATTCAACAAGTCTGAGGTCAAATTCTTCTTATTTTGCAGGAACGCCGAGGTTAACAGTTTCCACTGACTGTGCACATTTTAACCCCTGCTGATGTGGCGGTTGGTGCTTCTATAAACTTTCTAGGACAGACAGGAACAGTTGTGTCGTCACAGAAAATCCCTGCAGTGCACATCTAAGTGAATGGATCTTCACAGAGCAACGCAAAACCAAGATTAGAAGCAAAATAGTGGAATTGTGGGGGAGTTAAGACTCATTAAGCTTTGAGCTTTCAGCGGCTGCACTGGGTTTTTCTTTCTTTTTTTTCAACCGAAGCACAAACACGTACCAATTACCAATCTGCTACAAACCAGATCTTCTGCAAAAGAGCTGAATGGAGCTGGAAAGCATTGTTATGAGTCCAAAAAAGTCCACACATAATGTTTACATAAAGTGGGCCACCCTGTTACAGCAACAGCCACCCAAATATACTTGGCAAGATATTCTCACATTGGTCTTGTAATCTTTTTCACCAACAGCAGTTTTCTTCAACCTTTCCATAAATGGCTTTTATTATGCTGGGTAGATTTTTCTCAAAAAGTTTTGCTAAAGGGCTTGTTGACAAAATGTTATAAATCTCCTTGCAGGGGACAAAAAGTGCTGTACCTGAACTGCCTCTATGAACCCCTAAATTGATTAAATCTTATCACAGGAGAAACAATTTTTTGAACATAAAACGGAAACATTAAGCTAATATGACATTTTGCTAACTTAAGATAAAACACTATAGTTATACTGGACAATCACTTCACGTCAAATTGATTAGATTAGGCCTTTTTAGGCTAAATATCCTTTTTTTGAGTAACGGGCCTGTACTAGGTGGACAATCAATGGCTAATTGTTTCGGTTCAAGGATTTATCACCAGATCTGCTGCTCATTGCTCCGAAGCAGATTTTAAAAAGCACCACCTTCAAAAGTGCAATGAGAGGAGCTCGTGTAGTTCCCACACTGTGACTGTTGGTGGCGTACACAGATGCAACAGAAACTAAACAGATTTATTTTACCTGGAATTAAGCTGAAATTTTTCACCAAGCAAACTGGCAGTGAACAGAAACAAGTGAGGGAAGGGCTGCATTTCTTAGCCATAATCATGTCTACTACTAGCCTGGCCAGCCAGACTGATACGCCGTGTATACACCACATCAGTCTAAAGAGCTGGTAGAGCTCGATTTTAAAGGCCGGACTACCAGAGACAGCCTCATCAGGTTAGAAGTGATCAGATAACTACGGTTATGACGCAAAAACTAAAGGCGGCGCATATTTTGTAGTCCATGAAAGATACCAGTGAAAGATTTGAAGAATTGACACTTAAGATGTTGGTTTTTAAGGTTTTTAAAGTTAGATCAGTCTCACTTGGGACATCATTATAGAGGAGTGGCAGCTTAGTGGTTAAGGCATTGTGTTTGGAATACAGAGGTTCTGAATTTGAGCCCCACATCCACAGACTGCCACTCTGGATGGCTGAGAAAAGACCCTCAGGGGCTGGTTATCCTCCCCGCAGCAGTGTGTCGCATTGAGCTTGTCGCAGATATTTTTGATTTATGTCCAATAATGAAGTTTGGTCTGCAGTGTGTTATTCCACGCCACAATGCAAGAGGGATAGTCACGAACTAGCGGTGGTTCGATACGGCCGAGATGGTGAGGAAGTGGGGGCAAGTTTATGCCTCAACTGAAGGACATGAGGGCGAAAAAGAGCGGGGATCCAGGTGGAAAAAGAAAAGTGTCCCAGCGTTCTTGCGCACCTCGCTCTTCCAGCTGGTCCATCTTTACGAGTCGTTTTCCACAATGGCGGTCATACAGACAAAACTAGCCGGTAAGGTACCAAACAGGAAATATGCACAGTGTAGAGTGGATGTAGGACTGACCAATCAGAGGCCTCCTGTCTACGGTCACCTACAATTTTGGAGAAGTGATGCGGAGTGCCTGCGGAAGGGGGTGGGGGGTGTACATCTGCGTTAACTGTTACACACAAACAGACGACCTGGTTTCTTTAACCCCACAATGCTCGCCAGGTGCCGATCAATGGCAGCCCACTGCTCACCAAGGGGATGGGTTAAATACATCATTTCATTGCTCTGTACTTGTGACCGTGTAATGACAATAGCTTGAAAAAAAAAAAATAATAAAATTTCAAAACACTGCTCCGAGTTCAAGTGGGAAATTATCCATTTTGTTTTCCAACCAGCAGACGTTGGAGAGCAGGATTGATGGAAGCGGAGGTCTGTGGGGGATCTTTCTTTAGCTTCGCAGTTAGCCCCCCTCTGCAGCCTCGCTTTCTGCGTCTCGCGCATCTCTTTCTCTCAGTCGGTTATTTTCCGCTTTTGTTTACATCTGTCCATAGCACTTTGCAGCATTTTAAACTGTCAAAAATTTCAGTATTTAAAACTTTTTATGACCGCAGCTCCAGCAGGCGTTGGCGATCATAGATGCGGGTTTGATGTTTAGTTTGTATCGTATTCAGCGGAATATTTTGCGAAATTGTCGAGAGGAGCTGTTCTTGGCCGCTGCCTTGGAGCGCCTCCATAGTAACATCTAAAAAACTTTTATTATGGGTGGTTCTGGGGCTGAGAGTGACGCGTGGGTAAGTCCTACCTCCTGCGCTTCGATTGATCCGGCAAGATCCTGGCTAGAGTCAAAGGCTGTTAACCAGACTGATAAAGGTTCAGTGTATTACTGCTGGCTTAACCACCTCTGTTTCTACCAATTCTCTAAATAAGTCTAACTAAAACTCTATAACTTGAAAAAACATTATTAATTTCCAGGCATCCTGGAATAGGATTCAAATGCATCAGAGCACAGAATGAACCTATAACCAGCTTTTTTCCCTGCTCTCCGTGCAGCAGGAGGAAGGAAGGAGCATTTGAGGCGCCACTCACCGACTCGTCCAAGGCGAAGCGCAGACAGCCATGTTCGTACAGCACAAAGAATCTCCGCTGCCATTTCTGAGAGAAAAACACCACACATTTATCAGAACAGGTCCAAAAAGAACAGAACTATTGTTCTCACCCTCATTTAATTACAGCTTGGAAATGTGTCTGCGGGCCTATGAGGCTCTTACCCGGGATCTTTGCATTGGATTGTCGAAGTTGGTTCCCTCAGGAGCCAAGCACAGCCATCCAGCATAAATTGGCTTGGCCTATAAAAACAACAGGGAAAGGGGGAAAGAACAGTAATTACGATCATTATTAAAGCTGAGGCAGAGCTTGAGCAGAGTAAGATAGGCGCTGGTTGAATTTAATTGAAGGAAGTTTTGCAGGATCCAGATGTTCGTCTGTTCCTGTGGCACATGCAGCATTCACACACAACCAGTGTGTTAACATCTGGGATCATCAAGTCTATTTGATACCCTTCAAAAAACTAAACTAAAAACCTGACTAAAATGTTTCGCATCTTGCTCCATTAGAACCACTGAGACGAATCTGAGATATTAGTAGCAGATAGTTGTATTCTCCTAAATAAAAGCAATCAGAAGCCATCCAATCAGCAAACAGGACCTGCCTGTGTTTAATTTAGTTTATTCAGGCAAGAGTCTTAATTTTAAAAGAAAAAAATAAGAATCACCACAGATTTTTCTTATGAGCATCAAGCATTCAAAGTAGAAATCTACTGAAGCACCTCCAGCTTCATGCTGTGAGGATTCAGAGGAAAGTTCATCAGAGTCGAGGGGAAAATGCATAAAGGTAAAAACAAGGTACCTACAAAACACCACGATAGGTGTGGAGGCCTACCTTCCAGTGGGTCAAATACCCAGAACATCTAATCAGGGAGAAAACTAGTGTTGCACCAATACGATACCGGTATCTGGCGAGGGCCCGATCCAGCACTACAATGGTGGCATCGGTATCGGTGAGTGCCAACAAATGAGGTACAGATACCATTTTGAGAACTAAAAGTTTATTCAACTATTATCACCCATTCCAGATAGGCAATAAAAAGTGCTACTGGATTCACTTTGTTTTAGTCTTTTTCCTGCTTCACAAAGGAAAGCAGCAGCTTAACAAAGCAATGATGGCAATTTTTATACATCACACACATCAATTTCAAACAGATGGTATCAGTATCGGCTGATACTGCACAGCCAGGTATTGAGTATTGGTGCAGAAAATGGTTTGAATCAAAGCAGAATTCGGTTTTAAAATGGCCCAGTCAAAGTCTAGAGCTCAACATAAGTGAAATTTTGAGGAAACACTTTAAAACTAACCCTGGTCCCACAGATCAAATGGAAAAATGGCCTCCTTAAGCTGGGCTTACATATACCGTAAGTTTTTTTTGCCCTTTTTGGGCCGACTTTCCAGTGGTGCGAGAATTTTTTGACCGTGCCTTGTGCGTCTTGTGGTGCACAGGGGGTAACAAGGGCCGAACAGCCTCTCCCAATCACCTCCCGATCAGGAATTGTGAGGCTGGGAGAAAATCAAACATGTTTGAAAGTCGCTCAGTGCGCAAACAAGGAGTCTACTTCTTCCTTTCAGAGGAAAACACAGAATCAAGGCGGGGGTGCGATTGAAATGTAGTTTTTTCTGTAAAATTGACAGACCGTAGTAGCCATGTTTGCTCAGCCACGTCTTTGTCCAAATACGTTGTCGCCTTTTATTTTCGGGGCTTTATTTTCAGCATGCAAAATCGCAACATACATCGTGAGCTGTGAACTTGCACTGTACGACCAAACCGCGGGGTTGTACGCCTGGCTTAAATCTACAGAGTCCTGCTAAGGAGGACTCTCCAGCCCATTATTTGAATCAGGTGCATTAAGGCAGAGACTAATCTAAAAGGTGCAGCTCATGGAGGGTTAATAAATAGATGCACATGCATGATTTATTTCTGTGGAACAACAAGAATCCATAATTCCTCCTCCACAATTATGTAACGCCTGGTGTTGGTTTATCACATAAAATCCATAAATCCCAGACGTTGCTGTTTTTTTTTTTTTTTTTTTAAATCGCCAAAATATGAGGGAATCAACAGCATCAGAACTGAAAACATTCAAACATGGCGCCTGTCCTTGGTAAGCAGCAGGGCACCTCTAAACCCTCATATTGAAGGTTTTACTGTTAACCATTAGTCCCCCCCCCACAACCCAAGCACCAGCTGGAAGGCAGAAGGATCCCATTTGAAGTCTGGGATTCTGCTGCTGCCTGCATCGTTGTTCCGTGTCACTGCATGCCTGCAGTAAATCCGTACGTGCCAGGATGAACTTGTAGAAGCGTGTCTATTAAAGCACGCTTAATAAGCTGAACTCATTAAAGAAGCGTATTCTGCAGAGACGACACGCTGTGAAGCTCATAAATCAACGGGTTTGGGAGCACTACAAAGGAGGAAAAAACCATCTCAACCCTGCCCTGATGTCATTAGGCCTGGGGGTAGGGGTTATAAGAGAGCAGCTGTTCCAGAAACAAGAAGGAAGAGCAAACAGATCTCTAGATTCAGAAGTAAACACTGCAGCGTAGATTCCCCGTCAGTTTTAGGCCACAGGATCCACCCCAGATACTCTCCATTCCAGTACACCAAGCATGTGCATCATGTAAACAGGAAGCAGAGCATAGATCAACCCTAGATAAGGTGTGAAATGCCACGTAAGAGCTTAACAACACGATACAATCAGTGGACATACTCCTGTTCTGATTTGTTCTTTAGAAGTCCTGAACTGAAAGGCTTTACCACAGTCTGAATCATTTAGGAAATGAATCAACATTAAAAACAATCTATCACAGACATTTCTGTTTCTGGCACATGGCCCTTCCTAACACCCTCTGATTGGTGTTCTTTTGTTTTCGGATGAGGAAAACTGTTCCTGGTAACAACACTCTCCATGTTTGAATACTAGATAAACACAAACAATGAAAAAATGTGGTGGTTGGCAAACTCTTCCAACTGCTTGATGCTTTCAGCAGCATCATAATTAATGTCTATTCAAACACTGAAAGCATTTTCTACAGCAAACCTTCAATCAGACAAATAACTAAGGAGGAAAGCATGCCAGTCTGATTACTGTACAATGTAATGCTTTAGAAGTAATGCTGTACGGGTCTAAAAAACACTTTGTTTGAACTAAAGATTCAGACTAGGGCTCCAAATGACGATTATTTTACAAATCAATTAATCTGTTATTTTTTCTATTAATCGATTGAAAATCGGATAGCGAAGGGTTCCTTAAAGAAGACTTTTTGTGAAATTAAACCAGGTGAAACTAAAACTTTTCCACCTGAGGAGTTCTGGACAGAGCATCTTGTTAAAGGTACAGTGTGTAATAATTACAGGGATATACAGTCAGAAATGTAATATATCATACATAACTATGTTATTTTATCATCATCTACGAGCTCAGCCTCTTAACCTTAATATTTGCGTTGCCTTAGAATTCGTTATTTATAATTACATAGGAGCGGGTCTCGCAGCCATGGAGGCAGACATCTTTGCGCTACGGCAGCGCAGAGCCAACAAACTAGTGATTGCGATATCGCCAAAATGTCACAACGATGTAGAAAAAATAACGGGTATATTTATTATCTTAAGTCTACATGAAATCTATATCCTACACAGACTAATGAAATACTATCTGTAAAATTATCTATGTAAACAAACCTCATCACTTGAGAAGGTAGGTGATGCGGACGTCGTCGAAGACATTTTGTCCCGTAACGCTCGCCGTACTGTTGGGGGGGAGAAGCGGTGGGGGGGAGATGTTCATGTTGCTGCAGTCTGCTGGTTGACTGCTAGATGTCGCTAAAAGTTACACACTGTAGCTTTAATGTAAATACCTTTATTGTCCCACAATGACGAAATTCACTCTCCAAATTTTGACCCATCCCCTTGGGGAGCAGTGGGCTGCATTGGTTTGACACCTGGGAAACAATCAGGGTTAAGGGTTTTGCTCAGGAACCCAGAGTGGGACTGTGGGGATCGAACCGGATACTTGCAACCCTTCCCAATTGAACGACGGCAAAAAAAATTTTTTTATCTTAAATACAAAATGCTAACTTATTTTATTTTTGATATGATTACTGCTCTGAGCTGTTTGCTCTGTTAGCTAAAGGAAAGTTTTAGGGTCTCTACACCCCAATTAACGTTTAATTTATTACTAAATTATTTGTATATTCGTTTAATCACAATTAACCCCAATTAATTGTCTCAGCCCCAATTCAGGCGCTGATATAGCTTTAACACAAACAACAACAACCACTCTAACACAATTTATGTGAGCGCAGAGGATGGGAGCAGTCAAACTGTTTTTAATAACAAGTCGTTCAATAAAACAACGTCTTCAATGGTTAAAGAAAAAAAAAAGTGCATTTACATAATTTCAGTTATTGCATCCAAACGGCAGCATTTATCCAACTTTGGCTACGTTCACAAAGCAGCCTGAAGTGAACCAAATCAGATTTTTTTTGGCCCATATGCGACCTGTACCTGATCTTTTCATGGTAGTCTGAACACAGACCCAATTTTTTCAAAGCGACCTGCGTCTGAACGACCAGGTCGCATTCATCCAACCTGAACGCCATTAATACCTGACCAAGGTCACTATTCTGGGTCTTGCTAGAAAGAAGCAACATGAAAAACAACCACGGTGGACGATGATGAGGAGAGCAGTATTTATGTTTAAGCATCTTATAAAGATTGTGTTTTTATGGTTGAGAAAGATCGCTAGATGTTCTCCAGCACTAACATCCATGTTTACTTCCGTAAACACAGAGCACGCCGGCGTGTGACGTCACTGCATCCTCTACAGCGCATGTGGGACAGTTGCGTTGTATGACTGCAGTTCACACAGGAGACTAGGGGTGTAAATCACACCCATCATGGCGATTCGATTCAGTATCGATTTTCTGACCCAACGATTCGATTATTTTTGATACTCAAGAAAACACCACGATTCGATTCGATTAATCGGATAATTTTTTTTTCATTATTATTTTTTTACACCTTACAGGCTAAACAAAGTTTCAA